TGACCACTCGAACTTATGACCAGCTCTCCAACCAGTGTGCAAACCTAAGTAATGTATATTAGAGCTGATTTCCTTTTTTCTGTTTATCACAGTATACAGTACACTACTGTATAAACATTTAAAAATACACTAAAAATGTTATAAATAGTGCAAAGGTGACGTTAAAAATATCTAAAGATGGTTGACACAAACCCACTACCAGTATAGTATGCTGCTCTCTTAATGATCAATTCACTTAGACCTACTCTTAGGAATGGAACCCTGTCATTAAGTAAGGAGAGGCTGTAAAGGTAATGTCAGAAAGGTATGGGGTAGATCTAAGAATGCAGTGTTAGTGTGCAACAGATGTTTGTGGATATAAGAAGGTGTGTGCAAGAGGGAAGAGGAATGATGGGTAGAATGATAAGGTAGAGAGAGAGTGGTAAGGGAGAAAAAGCTAGAATATGAAAGGTATTTTTACAAAACAGAAGTGATATAAGGAGGGTGGAGTATATGGAGAGTAAAAGAGAGGTTAAGAGTAGTGAGGAAGTGTAAAGTGAGAGCAAAGGAGAGTTGGGGGTGAGGTTTTTGTAAACAAATTTTGCTAAAAATAAATAGTTTTGAAGTGGGATTAATAAATTGAGAAAACCTAGGGAACGAATGGATTTAAAAGTTAAAAACAAAAGAGGGGAATTATTTGATGGGAAGGTGAAATTATTGGAAAGATGAAAGGAATATTTTGACTGTTAAATGTTGATGAGAGGGAAGCTGTGATTTCATACATTGGGCAGGGAGGTATAACATCTTTTAGGATTGAGGAAGAGCCAGATGTGAGCATGGGGAGGTCTGTGAGGCAGTAGATAGTGTCAGCTGGGATTGATAAGATTAAGACAAATGTTAAAAGCAGATGTGATTAAATTTTGGTATGGTGGGTGTATTTTCTCGATAAATCTATGAAAGGAGGAAGATACATAGGGATGAGTAGAGCGCGTGCATAGTTCCTTTGTATAAAGGAAAAGGGGATAAAATAAAATGTAAGAATTATAGGGGAATAAGTCAGTTGAGTATACCAGGGAAAAAGTATGTGGTAGAGCTATTATTGAAAGTCTTAACCCTTTGACTATCGAGGTCGTATATATACGTCTTATGAGGTACCGTGTTTGACGTACATATACTCATAATAAGTGTTCGCAATAAAGCTAATAGAATCCTTGGCTTCATATCAAGAAGCATAAATAATAGGAGTCCTCAGGTTGTTCTTCAACTCTATACATCCTTGGTTAGGCCTCATTTAGATTATGCTGCACAGTTTTGGTCACTGTATTACAGAATGGATATAAATGCTCTGGAAAATGTACAAGGGAGGATGACAAAGTTGATCCCATGTATCAGAAACCTCCCCTATGAGGATAGACTAAGGGCCCTGAGTCTTCACTCGCTAGAAGGACGTAGAATTAGGGGGGATATGATTGAGGTGTATAAATGGAAGACAGGAATAAATAAAGGGAATGTAAATAGTGTGCTGAAAATATCTAGCCTAGACAGGAATCTCAGCAATGGTTTTAAGATGGAAAAATTCAGATTCAGGAAGGATATAGGAAAGTACTGGTTTGGTAATAGAGTTGTGGATGAGTGGAACAAACTCCCAAGTACAGTTATAGAGGCCAGAATGTTGTGTAGCTTTAAAAATAGGTTGGATAAATACATGAGTGGGTGTGGGTGGGTGTGAGTTGGACCTGATTAGCTTGTGCTACCAGGTCGGTTGCCGCGTTCCTCCCTTAAGTCAGTGTGACCTGACCTGACTAGGTTGGGTGCATTGGCTTAAGCTGGTAGGAGACTTGGACCTGCCTCGCATGGGCCAGTAGGCCTTCTGCAGTGTTCCTTCGTTCTTATTTTCTTATGTTCTTATAAATTCTAGCGGCTTCAAATCAAGCAGGAGAAAGCTGGTAGGCCCACATGTGAGAGAATGGGTCTGTGTGGTCAGTGTGCACCATATAAAAAAAATCCTGGAGCATGCAGTGCATAATGAGGGAAAAAAACTCCAACCTTTTTTTTTTTTTTTTTTTTTTTTTTAATTAAAATGCCGACTTTGTGGTCTATTTTCGTATAGTATTTATGGTTGTATTCTCGTTTTCATGGTCTCATTTGATAGAATGGTAAACATATTATAGAAATAGAGGTGATTTTGATTAATTTTACTAAAAAAGAACCTGGAAATGGACCTCAAAATAGGGAAATGTTTGATTTTTGCCGATGTTCAAAAGTAAACAAATGATGTCATTGTCCAATAAATGCCCAACTAGCCATTCTGATATGCAGTCATGAATGGGTTGATGTTATTTATACAATTATTACAGTATTGCAGTAGTCTGCATAGCAGTAAATCTTCTAATTTTTGTTTGAATAAAAATTCAAAATAGAAAGCAAGAGTAATATCAGAGTGGCTTGGAGACGTGACTGATGTTGTTTTAGAGCCAGGAATGTCTGCATTGTTCATTCTGGACCTTATTTTGAAATTGTCATATTTTTTAATTTTCATGAAATTGGCCAAATTGCAAATTTCTAACCACGTTATTGGGTAGTTGAAATTGGTAAATGGGCAGTTTCTTGTACTCAGTCGATAGAAAAAATGGAGCTCTAAAGAAATAGCTATGAGTTTGGTCGACTGGAACAATGGAATTAGCCAAAAATAGGGCTCAAAGTGCGCAAAATCGCCGATTTGTAAATAACGCCGAGGTCGCTAACTTTGCGAGAGCGTAATCCTGTCAGTTTTCCATCAAATTTCGTGTTTTTGGTGTCATTACAATCGAGAAAAGATTCTCTATCATTTCATAGGAAAGAATAATTTTTTTTTTAAATTTTGCGACACCAGGAGACACTTCATGATTGGGGGTTGCGACAGTCAAGGGGTTAAGGGTAAGACAGAGCAAGATTGCAGACGAGCAAGGATGTTTGAAGAAGGGCAGGGGATGTGTAGACCAAGTGTTTACATTGAAGTATATAAGTGAACAATATTTAGATAAGGTAAGGCTGTTTTCTCTGCATTTATGGATTTAGAAACTGCATATGATAGGGTGGATAGGGAAGCAGTGTGGCAGAAGTTGTAAGTGTCTGGAATAGGTGGCAGGCTACTTAAAGCAGTTAAGAGTTTTTATGTGGGTAGTGAAGCTCAGGTTAGGGTATGTAGGAGAGATTGAAATTATATTTTCAAATAAAAGTAGGCCTTAGACAGGGATGCGTGATGTTACTTTGGTGGTCTAGCATATTTATAAATGAGATTGTGAAAGAAGTGAATGCTAGGGTGTTGGGGAAAGGTGTGTGATTGAAAAATAAAGAATCTGATAGAGTGGGAGTTGTCACAGTTGCTTTTTGCCTATCACATGGTGTTTTTGGGAGATTCTGAGGAGAAGTTGCAAGGGTTCATGGACGAATTTGGGAGGGTGGGCGATAGAAGGAAATTAAAAGTGAACAAAGGAAAGAACAAAGTTGATGAAAGTAGCTAAAAATTAGGTAATGAGAGATTGAATATTAAATTGGAAAGAGAGTGCGTGGAGAGTTCAGATATTTGGAAGTGGACTTGTTGGCAGATGGGTCTATGAAACTGAGGTACACAGTAGAATTGATGAGGGGGGAAAAAAGTGAGTGGGGCATTGAGGCATCTGTGGAGATACAGAATGTTATCCATGAAAACAAAAAAAAGAGAATGTATGAAAGTATCGTTGTACCATCACTTATATGGGTGTGAAGCATAGGTTGTGAATGTTGCAGTGAGGAGGAGGCTGGAGCCAGTAGAGATGTTCCATCTGAAGGCAGTGTGTGTGGTGTGAATATTATGCAGAGAATTTGTAAGTTGGAGATTAGATGGAGGTGAAAAGTTTCTAAAAGTATTATTCAGAGAGTTGAGGAGGGAACTATTGAGGTGGCTTGGACATTTAGAGAGGATGGAGCAGAATAGGATGACTTGGAGGGTGCATCAGTCTGTAATGGAGGGAAGATGGGGTAGGGGTCATTCTAGGATAGGTTGAAAAGAGGGGGTAAAAGAGGTTTAATATGCGAGGGGGTTGGACATACAACAGGCATGTGTGAGTGTTAGGTAGGAGTGAATGGAGGCAAGTAGATTTTGTGAACAAGGTAACATTTATGAAGGGAGTCAGGAAAACTGGCTAGCCAGACTTGAGTCCTGGATGTGGGAAGTACAATGCCTGCACTCTGAAGGTGGTGTGGGGATATTGCACTTTGGAGAGGCATCTGAGCTGTGATGTTGGTGTGCCTCCAGTATGACAGTGATATAGCGAGTGATGGTGAAAGCGTTTCTTCTTTTTTGGGTCTTCATACCTTGGTGGAAGAAGGCTGGTTAAAATAAAAAAGTTTTCCAAGCTACAAAAGCTCATCTCTTGCATAATTAGATTTACATTTTCATTAATTAATTAAATAAATTAATTAAATAATTAAAATTTAGATTTTTAATTAAAAATTAAGTTTATCTTATGAGAAGGATTTTTATGTAGGGTAAGTCATGCTCACTCTGCTTCTTAATAATGCATGTAACTAGGTAAGAGTTAATCATTAAGAAGCCATTCATAATAATTATCAGTTTTGTAGGGCAATGTGATCATGATCAACTTAATGTGAGTGTGGATTTTGTTTTTTACATTACAGTATCTCATGACATAATGGTTTGTTATTGAATTCTTCACCTTGCACTGAAGCAGTCAGTTTCATGTGAAATTATCCAAATATTATTAGTTTTATTTTTTTGCAAGTTTAAATTTTCATTGACTAATGTTATTTGCTCAGCTTATGAATTCCTTAGTGGCTTCTTAAAAGATGAACATTGTTTATTATAGCAGTGTAAATAGGAATAATCTTCAAAATTAGTAAGAAAAATTTGACTGAATTTGTGCTATACGAAAAAGTAGGCTGAATAACCATTTTCGTTAAATAAACCTGGTTTACCATATTTTTTATTTTTTGTATGCAATGGATAGTTGCTTTAATAACCCCAATGCATGTCTTTTTAGTGGGAGTATTATGAAGAAAACATATACGAAGAGCCTTTTGACTTCGAATTACCATATAGTTCTTTGGAAGATAATAAGGTATTGCCATGGACTCCAAACTTAAGCTCCTGCTTTGTGTTAAATGCTGAAGTTGAATCCTTTTATGTAATAGAAATTGTAATTAATGCCTTTTCAAGAGCAGACTTGTCTCTTTGTGAAATATAGCCAATGCTTCTACTTCATGCCTCCTCCCTCCTGACAAATTTTAATTTTAAGCATAACACTTTCAGCTAGTGCCTTCTCTGAAAGGTAAACTTATATTGCTGCCATATATGCCATCATCTTTGGTAAGTGCTTTGTTATTCTTGGCAACTTGTTATTGAATGTAGTGAAATTACTTAATTTGCTGTTAGTAATTGCTTGTATTAACATTTGTGCATTGTTTTAAATAAATTAAGATAAATAACTTGAAGCTAAATAGAGATTAATATTCAAGCTCATGTTTATTAAATTCACTTCAAGGATCATTTTCAACCTTTAGTGAAGTCTCTTGTTACACCATTTCAGAAATATATGCTCAGATCTTTTATAATGGCATAATTTATATCCATTTTTTGCTTTTATTTCACAGCATTTGAGCACTGATACACATTACTGAATTATTTCTTTGAGCTGAATTAGTTACTCTGAGAAAAATAGCTTGTTCTACTCTATTAAATGTTGCTCTTACCTACTTACTATTTTTTTTCTAAATTCTCTATGTACATCTTTGGCATTTATAAAATCTTTCCATACATCATTCATCATCTTATCAGCTATATTGTCCATAGTAAATTTTAACATTCTTCTTATTGTAATGTCATATTTTATTATGACTGAATTCCATTAGCAACTGCAGTATTACTAAATTAATTCCTCAGTGTATTACTCCTTCCTAAAGCCACACTTATTTGCTCTCCCTCATGTTTATCTCTGTGCCTCTCTCTTGAGGCTTTTGTAGCTATTTAAGTAAAATCCTATTTTCAAACTTCCAACTTTATAGTCAGTAAAGTTTTCTAATTTTTTTGTATGTACTGGATGGGTAACTTTAGGTATCTATCTTGGGAAATACATAAGCGTATCTTAGATTGCTTTTTTTTATATAGTTAGTCTCTCGCTATTGAATAAAATCCGCGAATAGCATAACTCCTTTTCGTGTAGGCTAAGAGTACTGAAAATGTATCAGTGGGTATTGGGTAAAAAATAGCCCCAGGAAGTGGAAGAGTAGTCCTTAGTGTTTCATTGGCCAAATTTTTTTTCTATAAAAATCATTAAGAAAGCATATGTTGCAAGTTATACTTAAGAAGGCTCTCTACCAGCAGAAATACATAAATTTTGTTTTGTAGAGAAAATGGATAATTTTACATCATCCACCAGTTATATACCACTTCATGGTGTAGTGTTGTGTGCACACACAGGTTGTGTAGTGTTGTGCGCACACTCTCACAGGTTGTGTAGTGTTGCACACGCACACACAGGATGTGTAGTGTTGTGCATGCACACACACACACACAGGTTGTGTAGTGTTGCACACACACAGGTTGTGGTGCTCTTCGCACCTACTCCTAGGTTGAGGGACTGATTACCTCATCTTCTGTACATAGTTCTACTATCTTCAAGTTATGTCCTAGAATTTGTATTGATAAAGCCACTGGGTGGCGAAACGTCTACAATAAAGATACCCAGATGTTGCACATGTGTCTTAATCTCAGTGTTGCACACACACAGGTTGTGTAGTGTTGTGCGCACAAACACACAGAGGTTGTGTAGTGTTGTGCGCACACACACACAGAGGTTGTGTAGTGTTGCGCACACACACACACAGAGGTTGTGTAGTGTTGCGCGCGCACACACACAGGTTGTGTAGTGTTGCGCACACACACACACACACACACACAGGTTGTGTAGTGTTGTGCGTGCGCACACACACACAGGTTGTGTAGTGTTGTGCGTGCGCACACACACACAGGTTGTGTAGTGTTGTGCGTGCGCGCACACACACAGGTTGTGTAGTGTTGTGCGTGCGCACACACACACACAGGTTGTGTAGTGTTGTGCGTGCGCGCACACACACACACACACAGGTTGTGTAGTGTTGTGCGTGCGCGCACACACACACAGGTTGTGCAGTGTTGTGCGTGCCGCGCGCACACACACACACAGGTTGTGCAGTGTTGCGTGCGCGCGCACACACACAGGTTGTGCAGTGTTGCGCACGCACATACACACACACAGGTTGTGCAGTGTTGTGCACACACACACACACACACAGGTTGTGTAGTGTTGCACACACACACACACACAGGTTGTGTAGTGTTGCGCGCACACACACACACACACACAGGTTGTGTAGTGTTGTGCATACACACACAGGTTGTGTAGCATTGCACACACACACACACACACTCACATTTGACACAGTTCTGCACAAGAGATTAGTGCAAAAGCTGGAGGACCAAGCAGGAATAACAGGGAAGGCACTACAATGGATCAAGGAATACTCGTCAGGAAGACAGCAGCGAGTCATGGTACGTGGCGAGGTGTCAGAGTGGGCACCTGTGACCAGCGGGGCCCCACAGGGGTCAGTCCTAGGACCAGTGCTGTTTCTGGTATTTGTGAACAACATGACTGAAGGAATAGACTCCGAAGTGTCCCTGTTTGCAGATGATGTGAAGTTGATGAGAAGAATTCATTCGATCGAAGACCAGGCAGAACAACAAAGGGATCTGGACAGGCTGCAGACCTGGTCCAGCAATTGGCTTCTGGAGTTCAACCCCACCAAGTGCAAAGTCATAAAGATTGGGGAAGGGCAAAGAAGACTGCAGATGGAATACAGTCTAGGGGACCAGAGACTACAATCCCTCACTCCAGGAAAAAGATCTTGGGGTGAGTATAACACCAGGCACATCTCCTGAAGCTCACATCAACCAAATAACTGCTGCAGCATATGGGTGCCTAGCAAACCTCAGAACAGCATTCCGACAACCTAATAAGGAATCGTTCAGGACCCTGTACACCGTGTACGTTAGGCCCATATTGGAGTATGCAACACCAGTCTGGAACCCATACCTAGCCAGGCACGTAAAGAAACTAGAGAAAGTGCAAAGGTTTGCAACAAGACTAGTCCCAGAGCTAAGAGGTATGTCCTACGAGGAGAGGTTAAGGGAAATCAACCTGACGACACTGGAGGACAGGAGAGATGGGGGGACATGGTAACGACATACAAAATACTGAGAGGAATTGACAAGGTGGATAAAGACAGGATATTCCAGAGATGGGACACAGCAACAAGGGGACACAGTTGGAAGTTGAAGACACAGATGAATCACAGGGATGTTAGGAAGTATTTCTTCAGCCACAGAGTAGTCAGGAAGTGGAATAGTTTAGGAAGCGATGTAGTGGAGGCAGGATCCATACATAGCTTTAAGCAGAGGTATGATAAAGCTCACGGTTCAGGGAGAGTGACCTAGTAGCGACCAGTGAAGAGCCGGGGCCAGGAGCTTGGACTCGACCCCTGCAACCTCAGCTAGGTAACTAGGCGAGTATAGGTTGTTTAATGTTGCGCGTGTGCGTGCGCGCGCACACACACAGGTTGTGTAGTGTTGTGCGCACACACACACACAGGTTGTGTAGTGTTGTGCGTGCGCACACACAGGTTTTGTTGTGTTGTGTGCGCGCGCGCGCGCGCGCACACACACACACACACACACACACACACACACACACACACACACACACACACACACACACACACACACACACACACACACACACACACACACACACAACACACACACACAGAGGTTGTGTAGTGTTGCACTCACACACCAGTTGAATTTACCCGAGTTGCTCATCCATTCCTCACTGTCTTGCCCGTCCTTCCACCTACATTTCATAGTTTATCCCCCCCCCTTTTTTTGAAGTGCATAACCATTATTCTTCCTATTGTAAGTTTTTTTAATATTTCTCATGGAAGTTCTATGACTATTGAACTTGCATTTCTAGTATATATATCATATCTCTTCATTGCAGATGATTTTCTCAAAATTTTCTTCCACTTTTAGTAAACTTTTTTTTCCTTATTACTTTACATAAGCAGCACAATTTTTACTGTTTTTAATGCTAGTTAACTTTTATAAATATTCTCTAACTCTTTAAATTGGAATTTGACATGTTATTGCCAGATTATATAGAATTAAATTATTAATTAACCTCTGTTCACATTTAGAAACCAACATTAGTATATCTTTCATCTACAGTAAATGTTAGTTATTCGTTGCAGTTACTTTTATCATTAGCCTGTAACAATGAATTGCTGTCAATTTTTGTCATTTATATGTTTAAACAGTTAACAAAAATGCATTTTATTTTTCATGTTTACACAGTCACATTTTTTTATCTCGCCCTTTGTTTTCAGGAGGCACCCAAAACTTGGCCAAAGGAAAAGCGTGATCTTTGTCTTCAAGAACTGGTAGAAACGGAGAGCAACTATGTTGATGCACTTCACATGCTTTGCAACAAGTTTTACAAGCCTTTAGGAAAATTAATAAGCGAAGAACAACTGAAGAAAATATTTTGTAAAATTCCGGTAATTAAAGTTGTTTTATCATGTGATAGTACTGTATATAATTTTTTTTCAGGAATTTTTTTTTTTTTGCCAGTTCATGCCTATAATATGTCTGTAGAAAGTTCATTGCATAGACTACAATTTTTTTTATTTTTATTAATGCATCAGCCATTTCCCACCAAGGTAGGGTGGCCCGAAAAAGAAAAACTTTCATCATTATTAACTCCATTATTGTCTTGCCAAAGGTGCACTTACACTACAGTTATAAAACTGCAACATTAACAACCTGGCCAGCTCGGAGGCACGCACTCCACTTTCGTACTTTGCAATTATCTCTTTCTTGAATTCAGTAGTATTTCTCACCCTTTTTACCACAGGGTTGGCACTAGAAGCTTTCTTTGTGACCATGGTGGCTTATTTAGCAGTTACAAGCACTAAAAACAATGGAATAATACAAAATGTATCATACGTATGTGTGGAATCGTCCACATTGGCTTGTAAACAATGGCACACTGGAGTGGCCGGGTGGCCTGGGCGGCTCAGGCCGCATGGACACGTTCTGGACAAATGTCCCTAATTGAGTTTTTTATCGTTAGCCAAACCAATATTTTGACGCAAAAACGTATCGGTATCTGATTTTATCACTATCCGATGAGGTTGTTAAGTGAGGGTCTACTGCATTAATTTACATGCTTAATAAAACACAACATGCAGTGTATGGCACTTTAGTGAGAAGACATTTCATCCCTGGTGGACAAAACTTCTCACTAACATATCATAAACCACAGTGTATCTTATTAACATACGTGCCTGTATATAATGCCATTAATATATATATATATAAGGATAGAAACATAAACACATATGCAGTTTAATGTGATCCTTTATTGACAATGTTTCGCCCACACAGTGGGCTTTTTCAAGTCACAAACAGATCTACCTGGGTGGAAGGTACGTGAGTATTTAGTCAGGTTCAGAATGTTGAGGTCAGGTGGAGAACGCTGCATCTGATGATCTACCGTGTGGGGTTATAGAGTCTAAAATCTTGGGTAGCTTGGAAGGGGTATTGGATAAGTTGTGAGCAGACCTTCTGCAGTGTTCTATGTTCTTATGTGGGATAGCGATGAAGAAGTTATCCCACATAAGAACATAGAACACTGCAGAAGGTCTGCTCACAACTTATCCAATACCCCTTCCAAGCTACCCAAGATTTTAGACTCTATAGCCCCACCCGGTAGATCATCAGATGCAGCATTCTCCACCTGACCTCAACATTCTGAACCTGACTATAAATACTCATGTAACTTCCACCCCAGGTAGATCTGTTTGTGACTTGAAAAAGCCCACTGTGTGGGTGAAACGTTGTCAATAAAGGATCACATTAAACTGCATGTGTGTTTGTTTCCATTGTGTCGGTATTTTGTACCATTTATTTTCTTCAATGTATATATACAGTGGACCCCCGACATTCAATATTAATCCGTTCCTGAGAGCTCATTGAATGTTGAAAGTATCGAAAGTCGAATTAATTTTCCCCATAAGAAATAATGGAAATCAAATTAATCCGTGCAAATCACTCAAAAGTATGAAAAAAAAAATGTTACCACGTGAAATATTAAGTTTATTGCAATAGAATAATTACAATAACAATAGATTAATAACAATAGAATAATTGACACTTACCTGTAATGAAGATCTGGTGATGATTGATGGGATGGGAGGAGGGGAGTGTGTGGATGGTGTTAGTGTTTAGAAGGGGAATCCCCTTCCATTAGGACTTGAGGTATCAAGTCTTTTTCCGGGGTTACTTCCCTTCTTCTTTTAACCCGTAAACGGTCCAAGAAGATCTACATTCACATGTGTAGTGCTACAAAAGTAGATCTACGTTTTTTTTTTACATATTTTCAAATATAACCAAAAAAAAGTAGATCAAAGTTTTTTTTACACATTTTCAAATGTAAAAAAACAAAAAGATCTACTTTTTTTACATACTTTCAAATGTTGAAAAAACATATATATACGTTTGGACCGTTTACGGGTTAATGCCACTAGGACCAGCTTGAGAGTCACTGGACTTCTGTCGCACAACATATATGTCCATAGAGGCCTGTACCTCTCGTTCCTTTATGACTTTCCTAAAATGGTTCACAACATTGTCAGTGTAATAGTCACCAGTACAGCTTGCAGTAGCTGTGTCAGGGTGGTTTTCATCATAAAAGGTTTGCACTTCAAGCCACTTTGCACACATTTCCTTAATCTTTGAAGTAGGCAACTTCTTCAATTTCTCTCTCCCCTTTTCCGAAGCAGTTTCCTCAGGTCTGGCCTCTTGCTGTTGAAGATGATCTAGCAGCTCATCAGTGGTTAGTTCGTCATTGTCCTCCTCCACCAACTCTTCCACATCCTCCCCACTAACCTCCAACCCCAAGGACTTCCCCAATGCAACAATGGATTCCTCAACTGGCATAGGATTCTCAGGGTTAGCCTCAAACCCTTCAAAATCCCTTTTGTGTACACATTCTGGCCACAGTTTTTTCCAAGCAGAGTTCAAGGTCCTCTTAGTCACTTCCTCCCAAGCCTTACCTATAAGGTTTATACAATTGAGGATATTAAAGTGATCCTTCCAAAACTCTTTTAGAGTCAGTTGAGTTTCTGTGGTCACTACAAAGCACTTTTGAAACATAGCTTTTGTGTACAGTTTCTTGAAGTTGGAAATGACCTGCTGGTCCATGGGCTGCAGGAGAGGAGTGGTATTAGGAGGCAAAAACTTGACCTTAATGAAGCTCATGTCCGCAGAAAGTTGCTCTGCCATGTCTGAAGGATGACCAGGAGCATTGTCTAATACCAGGAGGCACTTAAGGTCTAATTTCTTTTCAATTAGGTAATTTTTCACAGTGGGGGCAAATGCATGGTGTAACCAGTCATAGAAAAAGTCCCTAGTGACCCATGCCTTAGTGTTTGCCCTCCACAGCGCACACAAATTAACCTTGAGGATATTCTTTTGCCTGAACGCTCTGGGAGTTTCTGAGTGATACACCAATAAAGGCTTCACTTTGCAATCACCACTAGCATTGGCACACATCAGAAGAGTAAGCCTGTCTTTCATAGGCTTATGCCCTGGGAGTGCCTTTTCCTCCTGAGTAATGTAAGTCCTGCTTGGCAATTTCTTCCAAAACAGGTCTGTTTCGTCACAATTAGACACTTGTTCAGGTTTTAATCCTTCAGCCTCTATTTACTCCTTGAATTCATGCACATATTTTTCAGCCTTTTTGTGGTCTGAACTGGCAGCCTCACCATGCCTTACCACACTGTGTATGCCACTACGATTCTTAAATCTTTCAAACCAACTTTTGCTAGCCTTAAATTCACTCGCATCACCACTAGTTGCAGGCAATTTCTTTACCAAATCATCATGCAACTGCCTAGCCTTTTCACAAATGATCGCTTGAAAGATGCTATCTCCTGCTATCTGTTTTTCATTTATCCACACCAATAACAGTCTCAACATCTTCTAACACTAGCGATCTGTTTCGAAAACAAAGTTGCACCTTTTGCAACAACAGCTTCCTTGATTGCCGTTTTCCTGCTCACTATAGTAGAGATGGTTGATTGGGGTTTACTATACAACCTGGCCAGCTCCGACACATGCACTCCACTTTCGTACTTTGCAATTATCTCTTTCTTCATTTCAATAGTCATTAGCACCTTTTTTCTCGAAGGGTTGGCACTAGAAGCTTTCTTGGGGCCCATGGTTACTTATTTTGCAGAAGCAGGCACTAAAAACAGTGATAATATGGATAATATGGAATGTACCGAATGTATCCTTAGATGCGCGCACACTGGCTGGCTTGTAAACACTGGCACACACGGGGCACTTCAGGCCACACGTGGCCACGTCTCGTATGAATCGTATCAAATAGTGGGTTTTCGATCGAATGTCGAGGCAAAATTTTTGCGTTAAAATGCATCAAATGTCGGATTTATCGAATGTCGATGCCATTGAATGTCAGGGTCCACTGTATTTTACATTTTGGTTTACAGTACTGTCTTCGATTAATTTTTCTTATGGTTAACCTAATCATAAAGGGTAGATTAATATTTCATTGTCATTTCAGGAAATGGCCCGAATACACAGTATGATACATGAGGGGCTTACAGAGGCACAGAACAACAGCCATACAAAAACTGTTTCTAAAGTATTCATTGACAACCAGGAAAGGCTACTCGTTTATGGGGAATATTGTGCTAACCTCACTACTGCTCAACAAGAACTGGAAGATATCATGAATAACAATGAAAGAATTAGAAGTGTAATTCATGTAAGTTATATTTTTACTTTGTTTGTGTGCATATGGTTGGAGCCCCTGGCTCGTAGTACTGAGGCATTTTGTAATATTGTATTGTTATCTATTATGGTGCACTTTAGAAAGGTCATTCATATTGACTTTGCATTTCTGGTAAGACTGGTACTGTATTTCCTTCTTTGGGATACCCTGCTGTGGTGGTAAAAATATTTTTTATTAACACACTGGCCGATTCCCACCAAGGCAGGGTGGCCCGAAAAAGAAAAACTTTCACCATCATTCACACCATCACTGTCTTGCCAGAAGGATGCTTTACACTACAGTTTTTAAACTGCAACATTAACACCCCTCCTTCAGAGTGCAGGCACTGTACTTCCCATCTCCAGGACTCAAGTCCGGCCTGCCGGTTTCCCTGAATCCCTTCATAAATGTTACTTTGCTCACACTCCAACAGCACGTCAAGTATTAAAAACCATTTGTCTCCATTCACTCCTGTCAAACACGCTCACGCATGCCCGCTGGAAGTCCAAGCCCCTCGCACACAAAACCTCCTTTACTCCCTCCCTCCCTTTCCTAGGCCGACCCCTACCCCGCCTTCCTTCCACTACAGACTGATACACTCTTGAAGTCATTCTGTTTCGCTCCATTCTCTCTACATGTCCGAACCACCTCAACAACCCTTCCTGAGCCTTCTGGACAACAGTTTTGGTAATCCCGCACCTCCTCCTAACTTCCAAACTACGAATTCTCTGCATTATATTCACACCACACATTGCCCTCAGACATGACATCTCCACTGCCTCCAGCCTTCTTGCTGCAACATTCATCACCCATGTTTCACACCCATATAAGAGCGTTGGTAAAACTATACTCTCATACATTCCCCTCTTTGCCTCCAAGGACAAAGTTCTTTGTCTCCACAGACTCCTAAGTGCACCGCTCACCCTTTTCCCCTCATCAATTCTATGATTCACCTCATCTTTCATAGACCATCCGCTGACACGTCCACTCCCAAATATCTGAATACATTCACCTCCTCCATACTCTCTCCCTCCAATCTGATATCCAATCTTTCATCACCTAATCTTTTTGTTATCCTCATAACCTTACTCTTTCCTGTATTCACTTTTAATTTTCTTCTTTTGCATACCCTACCAAATTCATCCACCAACCTCTGCAACTTCTCTTCAGAATCTACCAAGAGCACAGTGTCATCAGCAAAGAGCAACTGTGACAACTCCCACTTTGTGTGATTCTTTATCTTTTAACTCCATGCCTCTTGCCAAGACCCTCGCATTTACTTCTCTTACAACCCCATCTATAAATATATTAAACAACCACGGTGACATAACACATCCTTGTCTAAGGCCTACTTTTACTGGGAAATAATCTCCCTCTTTCCTACATACTCTAACTTGAGCCTCACTATCCTCGTAAAAACTCTTTGCTTTCAGTAACCTACCTCCTACACCATACACCTGCAACATCTGCCACATTGCCCTACCCCTATCCACCCTGTCATATGCCTTTTCCAAATCCATAAATACCACAAAAACCTCTTTAGCCTTATCTAAATACTGTTCACTTATGTTTCACTGTAAACACCTGGTCCACACACTCCCTACCTTTCCTAAAGCCTCCTTGTTCATCTGCTATCCTATTCTCTGTCTTACTCTTAATTCTTTCAATAATAACTCTACCATACACTTTACCAGGTATACTCAACAGACTTATCCCCCTATAATTTTTGCACTCTCTTTTGTCCCCTTTGCCTTTATACAAAGGAACTATGCATGCTCTCTGCCAATCCCTAGGTACCTTACCCTCTTCCATACATTTATTAAATAATTGCACCAACCACTCCAAAACTATATCCCCACCTGCTTTTAACATTTCTTTCTGTATCCCATCAATCCCGGCTGCCTTACCCCCTTTCATTTTAACTGCTGCCTCACGAACTTCCCCTTCACTCACAACTGGCTCTTCCTCACTCCTACAAGATGTTATTCCTCCTTGCCCTATACACGAAATCACAGCTTTCCTATCGTCATCAACATTTAACAATTCCTCAAAATGTTCCCTCCATCTTCCCAATACCTCTAACTCTCCATTTAATAACTCTCCTCTCCTATTTTTAACTGACAAATTCATTTGTTCTCTAGGCTTCCTTAACTTGTTAATCTCACTCCAAAACTTTTTCTTATTTTCAACAAAATTGATGATAACATCTCACCCACTCTCTCATTTGCTCTCTTTTTACATTGCTTCACCACTCTCTTAACCTTTCTCTTTTTCTCCATATACTCTTCCCTCCTTGCATCACTTCTACTTTGTAAAAACTTCTCATATGCTAACTTTTTCTCCCTTACTACTCTCTTTACATCATCATTCCATCAATCGCTCCTCTTCCCTCCCGCACCCACTTTCCTGTAACCTTTATGTAGTAGCAGTTATGTGATGTGGAAAAAGAAACTTATGTACAGTTCAGGACATTTATTAAAGGAAATGTTTTGCTACAAGTGGCTTCTTTAGTCCTAATACTGAAGAAGTCACTTGTACTAATACTGAAGAAGCCACAGTACTGGAAATAAATGGTATAAAATACCGACACAATGGAAATATAGACACTTAAGCAGTATAATGTGATCCTTTATTGACAACGTTTCATCCACGCAGTGGGCTTTATCAAGTCGCAAACAGTTTTACCTGGGTGAAAGGTACATGAGTATTTATAGGGTGGAGTCAGGTGGAGAATGCTGCATGTGTCAATGTTCCAAGTAGGGTGATAGTCTAGAACCTTGGATAGCTTTAAAAAGAGATTGGATAAGTGGTATATGCAGTGTTCCTCCATTCTTATGTAGGATAGCAATGAAGAAGTTTCTTGGCAAGGGGTTCAGCTATGTTATAGAAGGCATTGTTTTGGTTGAAGTTGTTGGATATACAGATAAGTGATGATTCCAGGATTCTTTGGTATTGAGTGTTGTCTTCTCTGGCGATAAGTCTTGGGTTTCTGTAGTTGATTAAATGGTTGTTTAAATTTCGGTGTTGAACACAGGTATTCCTTGGATTGTCACATCTGCCTGCGTACTGGTGTTCTGAAATACGTGTTTGGAGGTCTTTATGTTTCGCCAACGTATAATTTGCTGCAGTCATTACAAGGGATTGTGTATACCCCTGCAGAGGATTGAAGCTTGTCCTGTCTATTACTGGTGATATCCTTGATGGTGGTGGCTGTGGAGGTAGATGCTTGGAATGAGGTATTGGAAAAGATGTTGGAATCGTGTTTGGCAATGGAGTTGGTGAGGAGGACTATGTATCTCTTCTTGGCAGTGTCTTCTCTGGGTGTGTTAAAGATGTTTAATGCCCATTGTCTGCAGTCTCTAATGAAGTGACGAGGATAGTAAAGTTCAAAAAATACTTGTTTAATAAGAGAGCATTCTTCCTCAAGGAACTCACTGCTGCTGATTCTGAAGCAATGAGCTTATTGTTAGGGTAGAACTAAAGTGGGTTGGGCAAATATTTTGTTAGTGGGTTGGATTTGTGAAGGACCTGCCCAGTATGGGCCAACAGGCCTACTGCAGTGTTTCTCCTTTCTTATGTACATAAGAACATAAGAAAGTTGTGGAAAAAAGACACTTATGTACAGTTCAGGACATTAAAAGAAACGTTTCGTCATGAGTGGCCTCTTCAGTCCTAATTGGTATCACCATACCATTTTCTCAGCATAAGAAAGGCAGAACACTGCAGCAGGCCTGTTGGCCCATACTAGGCAGGTCTTTCACAATCCATCTCAGTAACAAAATATTTGCCCAATAGAATTTTTAATGCTACCCATGTGCAAGTCCCACTCAAATCCAACCCTTCACACCCATGTATTTATCCAACCTAAATTTGAAACTACCCAAGGTTTTAGCTTCAATAACCCTACTAGGTAGACCACTCCACTCATCAACTACCCTATTACTGAACCACTACTTTCCTATATTCTATATCCTGAAGACTAGTCTGTGTGCTCTCTGTGAATCTGAACCAAGATGTCCTCTCTTGAACAACTCTACCAGCAGCTAAAAGAAAACTTAGGGTTGCTAAGCTCGAGATACGATGTTTGACGGAGGAAAACAAGAGGATTCGTAGTAATCCTCCTGTTGTGAGTCCTCAGGTCAAGAGGGGAACCTGGTCAGTGCCCGAGCAACATGGAACGAAGCTGAAGATCAAGAAGACTGTTGGAGTGGCAGAAACAATGAAGAACCAGAAGACTGTTGTAGAAACTTCCAACCCATTTTCACTGCTACCCGATGAATGTGGGTTGTGTACTGGGAATGTCACAACGAGCACCAAGGAGGCTTTGACAGACGAGAGTGAGTCGACATCCCTTGAAACCCCAATGAAGACCATCGAGAATGTCACGAACTCTGCCAGTGAAGGTAAGAACATTGTTTTAGTTGGGGACAATCAGGTTAAGTTTATGGATAGGGCTTTTTGTCTTAGGGACAGGAAGAGGAGGCAGAGGGTATGTTTTCCTGGGGCTGGCATGGGGGATACTGTTAGCCGTCTAGATGATATCATGAAAGGTAACTGGAGCAACCCTATTATCTGCCTCAGTGCAGGAGGCAATGATGTTGGCAGACATATGAGTGAAGACCTGATTAGCAGGTATAGGACAGCAATAGAGATAATTAGGAAGGGTGGGAACCCTGTGATATGTGGCATTTTGACCAGGAGAGGAGTTGGAAATGAATGGTTGTCCAGGGCAATTGGTGTCAATTGCTGGCTGGACAGACACTGTAAGGAAAATTCAGTAACATTCATTGATAACTGGGACCTCTTCTATGGTAGAAATGACATGTATGCCAGGGGTGGGGTTCACTTATCTAGGTTTGGGGTGGGAGCACTGGCCAAGGCAGTGGAGGGAGCTCTTAGGTCTTTAAACTAGAAATAGATAGTAGTACGAGTTTTTGCGGAAAATCAGTGAATTATCAGTATAGCGATAGTGTGAGTTTTAGGAAAACCAGAAA